TATGGTGAATTGCACAAATGAGGTAAACGAACCTTTAATTTATGGCAACAAAGAGTAAAAACTTAACCGTCTCGGCCAGTCTTTTCTTGCTTAAAAATATGTAAGCCACTACAATACATTTCACGTTCATTTGTCCGTGATTGGACTATCACAACGGTGGTACTACCACTATGTACCCATCAAATGTTCAATTTAGAGGTTGATGCAAGCGGTCATGTTCGCGTTCCCTCCAGCCACTCACAGTTCTTCGTGGTACTGGCGTCAATTGATTTCTAATTGAAATGAAATAAGAAAGTTAACCAAACAACAGAAAACACTATAAAGGAATTGGAATTTTGATACACATTGTAAATTACATGATAATATGGTAATGTAACGGGTAACTGCCCTGTGAATAATCACTTTTAAACATTCACTTCATTACATCAAACTGTAACTACATTATAATCAGTAAAATACGATGTAAGGTACGGTAAATCAATTTAACCATAGAAAAAAAGAATTAAATATTTATTCTTAAACACTTTGTTGTCTAGTATTGATAGGAAACTCTTCATTATGAACCAGACTTAGTAAACAGATTGAAACAAAATATAAATTCCAGCTTTTCTCTGAAAGTTTTAAGTCCTGCAGTCTGTGGTTAACCTTAAAAAATATTTCAAACTACGTCCATATGTTATTTGTAAACAAAGGGAAATGAGTTTGATCAAATGTCATCAGATAGCGCCGCCTTCCAAACTTTAGCCCTTAAGGGCCGGTTTCGGAGCTCGGGACTAACGCTATTCCTGGACTAAAATCCAGTTCAAACCAGTTTTTATTCTAGGACTAAAAAATCGGGTTTCGGAGCTCGAGGATTACGCTAGTCAACGACTAAGTCTATTCCGAGAGTTAACTAGTCCCTGACTTACTCTCATGGGTTTCGGAGTCACGGGTTACTTAATCCTCGAATTAAATGTTATTCGATCGGGTTTCGGAGCCAAATATTTAATCCACAACTGGGCAACAAAGACTAACTCGAGGAAAAAATATGAGCAATTTTTAGTCCAGGCGAAGGGCAGGATTAAGGGGCGGACTAACTTAACTTTTGGTGTAATTACTCAATTTGTGAAGTTGTATCTATATAAATGCCAAATTCTTAATCGGCATAAAATTTACTTGCAATTTCATTCCTCTTGATATTTTTTCGTAAAATTTTATTTTTCTCTTAAGTATAAGCAAACCCATCTTTGAATGAAAGCCGTATATCTACAATTTATGCTTAAGACTATAAGACTATAATGGTCCCTAATAATATTATAAGGTACTAAACGTAGAATTTAAAATAACAATATAACGATGAAAGAAAGAAAAACTTAACTGTATGAAAAAATTAATGTAGGGCCTATCAAATCTAAATACGTATTTAATACGCTTGGTACATAATGTTACATAGGGTTACATGCATTTAAATGGTCCATTTAACGAGTTTTTGGGGACGTCGGTTTTACCGAAAACCCCGTTATCCGGACTGGCCTCGGTCCAGAGGAGTCCGGATAGTCTACTGTAATGCAATATTTTACTAAAGAATACTTTTAACCAAAACTAACAGTATGCATAACAAAACAAGACTTATGTATTAGTATTATTTTCAATTGAAACTCATACCTAGTATAATAATTTGGAATTTGGGTAAAAAAAAACAAAAATATTTTAGCCGTGAGCTAACTCGGACAACCTGGATTCTCAGATAACCGGAGCTCAGATGATTGGAAGTTAACTGAAGTTGCTTGGACACCTACTTATTCTCTACTACACATTGTACTTCCAGAGGAATTGTTAAAATACAAAACAATCAGAGAACACAAATACAGTACATTCTAAGCAGATAAATTATAACTAGGCCTACTTTTAAATTGTTGTAATAATGATAATTTTTTACGGTTGATTTTCATACAAAGAATAATAAAATATTTCCCTTTATTTTTTATCATCCTACAGTATTCATTTTAAAATAATTGTAAGATCTTAAATAGACAATTATTGGGGTTTGCATTAGGATTACAAAAGTCACAACCAATCTCTAATATCTCAAATGCCTACAGTTTTTAGATTCTCATAAAAAATAACTTGGACAAAGTAAAGGCATATACTAATACATTTGACACCTTATTCTTCAATCGGGAAGTTTTTTTTTATCAAACTTAACAGCAATAAATAAACCTTCAGTTTTTTTATTTATTTTTTATTTTTTTTATGATGGTTCCCATAACAGGGTTTTTATTTCGGCATTCGTTTTTGAACACGATCTCTTCTTTTAGTTACCATCTTCAGTGAAACTCAAGGAATCATTATCCCAACTGATAAGTGATTAGAACCAGACTAGACAGTAGACGCTAGTGTCGCTATGAGCGCTGTCCGTGAACAGTTTTGGCAGGTATCGTCTCAAATTCGTCTGTCCGCTGCCACTACCAATACTCAAAAACTAAAATTCCCCGTGATTCCTACCTTAGTCCTAGAATAAGTAGTCCAGAAGTTGACGATTAGTCTCCGAATAGACTAGTCCGCGGACTAGGGAGTTAGTTCGCGAGCTCTGAAACCCGTTTTTTTATTCGATGACTAACTTTATTCACTGATTAAGTAACTCCAGGATTACGTATTCCCGAGCTCGGAAACCCGCCCTAAGTGTACTTAAGTGGTGCCCTTTCTAAATTGAGACGTATTTGCGCATCTACGTGAAAATACCTTTAATTTGACACATCAAACTTTAAAATCCATCAAGCCGTTATTGAGTTATGACTGTGAAAAGAAAACTGCTTGCGTATTAATATATAGACAAGCAATGGACTAATTATGCCATACCAGAATCTGTTTTGTACCGCCTTTGATGAATAAGTTTAATTTCAATCTCTAACGTTAGCATTGCTGATTGACAGGTACAAACTTCCAGTCCCATTAGTAAGGTTATCACCTAACTATTGAAGATTATGGTAGTTTCATACAACTTGTGATAGCTTAGGTAGTTACAGTAGAACCTCGATAAGAAGACCCTCGATAACAAGCTACCCTTGATAACAAGGGCCATTTTCAAATCCCCTTGAAATTATTTTACCCCTAATCACTTGTTATCGCTAACCTCGATAAGAAGTCAACCTTGATAACAAGTCTTATTTTATAATCCCTATGAGAGTTTTGTTATCGAGGTTCTACTGTACTATACTACATCACCTTTTCTGTTAGTGTAAATGTTAGGACATACGCGTGTTTACAACAAAATAACCAACCACTTTTGATTTTATTCCCACCTATTACAAGCTTCAGTACATTATCGTGTAATCACGGACAATTTGGAGTCAAGGCCAATTATACAGTCTGAAGGAAATATTAAATGTTTTCCTTCCATAGCATGGAAATAATCACATTGTAAAAGTTACTTTGCAGAAATATTGTAAAATCTTGCAGTCAAATTAATGTTCTGTATGAGTAAAAGGATGAGTGTGATAGAAGTAAGGATCTCACAATTTAATCAACAGTGTGATCAAAACCAAAGGTGTTAGAAACCAAAGACACTTTTATCGTGGAACACATACAAAAAACTCAGTTCTAAGAATGTACTGAAATCACTACAATTTGTTCAATTAATTTGTTCAGCATGGTACAATATGTTTGCTCTGAAACATCAGAAAATTGGTAAATGGGTTAAATATAAGTCAGATACGCTAAGCTAGATACAAATCCAATGCAAAAACATTCACAAAAAAATAAAAAAATTAATAAACTAATCTTAAAATATGTTATGCCAGGCGTGAAATTTGAACTGATTTTTGCATGAGATTTGTTTTAAATCGTACACTCTTTTAATGTCAATAACATACCATTTCACACGTAACATGTAATCAACTAGTACACCTTCTATTTAGTAAATAACGAAAACACGTAAATATATCACTATTTACTTGCAGGTGAACGGATAGGAAACTATCAAGTGGCTGAATGGTATTTACAGAATAATTTTAGGCTACTAAGCCATGTTGGTGTTTTGTGATGACAAAAGTTTATTACGATCACACAAACTCGCATATTAAATTAAATGTTGAACTATATGTTTCAGTAACCATTCAAAATGTAGATAGTTTATTTGTTTTACAAAAAAGATCCATAAAATGTCAAACTTAGATAACAACAAATCAACAAAACAGTATTTAGCTTCGTTAAACATCTTCACTATGTAAGCGTTTCAAAAACTATAATAACTCCAAAACCTTAAATGAATTTGAATATAATTTCAATGTAGCCACACACCATCTATCTATCTATTTACTTATTACAATGTAGCCACACACCATCTATATATCTATTTACTTATTACAATGTAGCCACACACCATCTATCTATCTATTTACTTATTTCAATGTAGCCACACACCATCTATCTATCTATTTACTTATTTCAATGTAGCCACACACCATCTATATATCTATTTTCTTATTTCAATGTAGCCACACACCATCTATCTATCTATTTACTTATTACAATGTGGCCACACACCATCTATCTATCTATTTACTTATTACAATGTGGCCACACACCATCTATCTATCTATTTACTTATTACAATGTGGGTTCCCCTGTAACATCCCTTTTCAACCAATTTATACGATTGAGGTGTTATTTTAAAGATTGATCCAGTGGACGAATTATAATTAAAAAGGCAATGACCTTTAAGCCTTAAATTTTTATTTTATCTTGGGTCTGTATTTTTCATCTTAAAAGTTACCTTTGAATGATATTGCATTATTCGTTATACATCGGAGACTGAAATACTATCATAATACACAATTTGCATTTGGGTCTCATAGTGAGTATTAAACATCAACGTGATACTTTGATAGCTCCACCCATTTCTATTCTATAACTGATTTCAGCTTCAAAATGGGAAGTGAAAGTCTAGTACCTCAAAGATACTGTTCCTAGTGTGTTCCACAACTAAACAACAATTAAAGTAAGCTACTGTCATACGTTACCTGAGGAATGGCGAATGTCAAGGCCACAGCCCATATGACGAGGATCAGTCTCACGGCCCTGGACAGCTTGCTGAGGGTGTGTGAGTAGAAGGGGTGGCAGATGGCTACGTATCTCTCTACAGTAAATGCTGTGATGGTGAGAACAGTAGCATTGGCTGACGTCTCTGCTGCTAATCCTCGCAACACGCAGAACACTTCTCCGAACACGTAGGGATACCTAGGGAATCACACTTGGCTATATGTTCCATTAGAATATACAGGGTGTCCTGTAAGATATTCTAAATAAATTGGGAATTAGAAAAATAAAAAAATTACGAAAATCAATAATAAAGATTTTTTAAACACCTTATTTATTGTGTTATCTACCAATTTGCTTTTTGTTTTAATTTTATATCTTAAAAACTGTTAACATATCTTTTATGACATTTGGTGTACGGTTTTAAGGAGCCACAAACATTTTGGAAAACAGAACTAAATACTAAGAAACATATGTTGGTTTCAAAATGGTAGGTATTTCAATTTTTTTGTTTTAACTATCTGTTATGAGTATAAGATATGCTTAAATCACGTGCATCTAAAGTCAATTAAGCTTTGTTGGAAGAAAATTCAAAAAGAACGCTTTTCCAAATATGCTAGAGAACCCTTTAATCTCCTCAACTTGATGTCTTCAATATTAGGTTACTAAACTAATGCAATGAGGTAATCTTGTTTGGTAAACTACATAAATGATTCGGATCTGTGAAAAGAACAAGATATGCAGTCTCCATTGTTGTCAGGGAAATGGTGTGCATCCTGAGGCTAAAATAGACCATTGTAATGAAAAGGTAACTGGAGAGCTTTGAATGCTGGTCTCTGCAACCTATTAATTGTAAAGAGCAAGCTTTATCATGTCAGGAGTTAAACAGAAATATCCATTGTAATTTCTTGACGTGCGTTTTTATATAACGACTAAATCTCAATATTAAGTTTTCAAAAGGTGGCAATCCAGGTTGGATTTAGTTAAATGATAATTTACAAGATTATCCTAAATTAGTTAACTTGTATTTCAGCAAACTCTATTCATAGTTTAAACATTATAGAAGACATGATTTAGAACGATACAATGTACGTTTTACCCAAGAAAATGTGTTGAAGAGAAAAGCACCTCATTGGATAATTCCAATAAGAAATCATTAATAACTAATTATTATAAGAAACATTTAAGGGATGTAACCAAAATTATAATTGTTTGCATTACTAAGTCTCTGTGTTGGATGGTATAGTATTTATCTTAAAACATTATGTTACAAAAATACTATATTTAAATGTGTCCGTGGCAAGAGAAAGCCACTTACATACATGATTAAAATCTTCCATACAAACAAAATCTCTTTAATACAACAACGCTTTATCAAGATAACTAATGTTAAATATTTGGGTAATTTTCTTATTTTGTTTGATAAACTAGAAGAGTACTAATAATAAGTATGATTACAATGAATATAATAACAATAGTCCATATAATTGATCCTGTCTCCTGAATCTCCACCTGGGGCTGACCTGAGCCTTACAATTGGCCAATCCCCAGATAGACGGTCAGGAGACAAGTTCCATCATACACCATTCAACTAAGAAGTGCATAAGTCCCACCTTGACCAGATCGAATACATTTCCTGAGGAAGACCGGAAACAAGAAGAAGTAAGTCGGAAATAGCGAGGCTGAAGAGATAGTAGTTGGTCGCTGTGTGCATATGCTTGTTTCTTGCAATGACAATACAGGTGACGATGTTCCCAGTGACTCCGGAGAAGAAGATGATCGAATAGGCGATGGTGATGGGGATGACGATGTAGAGAGGGTCTCGCTTTGCGGGTAACTGTAAAGTCTCAGTCACTGAGTGGTTGAAACCTCCCTCCATCACACCGTCCTCTGAAACATGTAAAGAGGTATATACTATCACTAGGGCCGAAAGTGACTTTTCCGGCACGCGCTTAAGTTACATGTGGGAGGCAAAGCCAAACACATGAAAACCAAATTTCACGGGAATAATAGAGCAAGTGGTGGAAAATAACTTTCGGTACGAACGATACTCCTAATCAAGACGCGAAAATACACACAATCCTTATTACTAAAAGCCCTTATTAGTATTATAATAGGTTAGACCACGCTTTATAATTGAAAATCTACTTCACAACGTATAGTTTCGGGATTATAGATTTTTTTTAGATAAATATATTTACTTTATTTGGTTTAACATTTTGTAATGTGTACCAGTTAACTTTCGCAATGAACAAAATAGTTAGGAATTAGTTATTAGTTGGTAATTAGTTATATATATATACAACTAATATATATATATATATATATATATATATATATATATATATATTGCTCTTCATATTCTTCCTGGATTTCTCTGGTGGAAGGTGTTACCTCTGAAACCTTTCCCATCAAATCATCAGGAATGTTAGTTACATTATGAGCAATATTTCAAACACGCATAATGCTAAAACACAGCAACTTAAACGGTTATCACCAATCTGACACATACTTTCTCCCATAAGCTTGTCAACAAGCTTTATCATGGGTAAGCACTGGACATAACTATGTTATATTACAAGGAAAAATCACAAAAGTTTCAATAATTTTTGAACCGTAATTGTTACAACGTTGGGGGTAGCACTATTTTGTTTAGAATTATAAGGACCATAACACATTAATTTTAATGAAATCCGGGTTTTACCTGAAATCCGATTTTTTTAAATGGGAAAATAGCATAAGTTAACTTTTGAACAATATTTTTACGGAAATGGGATTTGTAACTATTTCTTCAGAATTTAAAGGGCCATAACATATTAAAATTGTATCAAAATCGTTCAGGCTATTTTCGAAGAAATAAAATTTTTCCATTATTTTATAAGTTGTAATGGGGAAAACCCCATTAAAAATCAAAATTAAAAAACAATGAAAAAATCGCCTGGACCATGTATTTTTATTATTTTATAGGTTTTATGGGAAATAACATAAGTTACAATAACTTTGGAACCGTAATTTTTACGGATATGGGATTCGTACCATTTTGATCGAAATTTAAAAGACTATAGGCCTAACGTAAAAATTTTTTTATTAAAATTGTTAGGGCTATTTTCCATAATTTTATGGGAAAATTGCCATTAAAAATCTAAATTTCAAAAATAAAAAATAAACGTCTGGATCTACCATGGATTAGTATCTGCATACCAAATTTCATCAAAATTGGACTACAGGTGTGGTGTAAAACAAATGTTGAAGGCAATTTTTAAAAACGTTAATGTCATAAATTACAGTTGGCTACTTCAATTAATTGGTTCCTTGTTCTGTTTTTTTCCACAACATTGTTTGCTAGTTTATCCTGTTCAAATTGTTATTGTTGCTTGGAACCTATTGTGTTGTTATTTATCCTGCTCGTTATTTGTCGAAATTAATTATTTCGAGATTTCCGTTGTTATGTCTTCTTCTTTTTTTTCTTCATCTTACTTTTGTTGTTTCATATTGCTTATCCCTACTAATGTACTCAAAAAGTTAGTTTTCACACATAAATCCTGCATTTTTTTTCGTAAAAATGGTGAATTTGTTTTCAAGTAAATACAAGTTGAATTTGAAATAATTTCCTTGTTCTATTAGCTTAAAAATAAACTTAGATTAGTTAAAAAGCAAAGTTAAAACACACCGTCGTGTTACTTGTGAAAGCAGCTTTGTAACATTTTAAAAGGGAGATAACATTCACAAAACTTTTACAAATCATTAAAAGACGTCTCTAGTAGTTTTCGTAATGTATGCAACGTACTTTGGATGCTACGGAATTATTGGACATAAAATATGATGCTGTTACCGTATTAATCACAAAATGGCCCAATCTAACTAAACATATATAGTTTTCAGGGCAATAACTGTAATACAGTATATAATATAGTACATCATGTGTTTAGATCTTATTCATTACCTGTAATTCTGGAAAACAGTGTCATAGATATTGATTTTTTTATTGCAACTTAGCCCTTGAAAAAGTTAAAGTTTTACAATGTAAGTTCTACAGTGGGTGGTTTCAGGTGTACTTGTAGACTAGAGGCAGTAAGTGCTGTTGCTGCACTAGTGTTTATCTTGCTTGCTCTATTGATAGCTCACAGCAGATGGCTAAAATAATGACACTGTTTAATATCAACCTCAGATAATACAACACGCATAGCTTGCCTCGTACATGCTACTGCAGAGAGCATATGAAGACTAAGTCAACTGTTTCAATTTTATTTTATTCAAGTCAGTCTATTTACAATTGAGTTTAAGATGTTTTAAGGACTTTGATGGAACAAAAACGGACAGACGTAGCTATCTTTTTACTAGCCTCTAGCTCAGGATTGTTTTGCCACATTGCTTTGGTTAGGTCTAAAGGGTTGTGGCATTATAAGTTAGGTAAAATCCATTGTTGATTGGCAGTTAGTTAGTTAAAATCAGTTTGATCCTCCTCAGTTTGACGGAAAGCTTATAAAATGGCGCAGTTTTTAACATATTCCGACACTTTCTTGTATACAGGGTGTGAAAAATGCAATAGACCATTGTTTTTAAAATTTTTATCAAATATCTTAATTTTTATCATTGATTCTATTTACAATGAAGTTTTTACAACTGATCCTCCGTCATTTTCCATTATTCTTGTTCAAAATTTAATGTAGAACACGAAAATGACATTATCTACTCAAATCTATATACAGGTAATTGAGAAATCGCTGTATTAAGTTTAAAAGCATGGTTATTTTTGAAAAACATAAAATAATTTTTTGGGACGCTAATTTTGAGACTTGGAACATTTGATATGCATCATCACACTTCATTTACTTTGTACTTGCATCAAAAAAATTTTGTCACACTGAGTACAAATCACCCTGTATAACTTCAGGGTGAATTATTGTTATAATTCATATATAAGTTACTTGCTTAATATATTTTAATTTATTGTCCGTAAAACAAAACATTAAATAATTCGCTTCTCTCAATTTATGTGGAAAGTAATAAGTTCTATTTTATCACTACCATTTCTATGATCATTGTAGAATTTGTAATTGAAAAGACTTCACTGCTTTTTTAATCAAAGACTTACTGACGGTTATTAATATAAATACTTATATAGTTATAAATATCATTACTATCTCTCCAATCTTGGTTCTAATCTAATTAAATAATAAGTTTTAACCAAATTAAATACATTTTTATGATGGCAATAATCAACTGATAGCATATTTGCAAATTGATTTGAAACCCTTTCAAACTCATGAAATCTGAATTTAGTTAGTTGCAAACAGAAACCACCTCAAGCTATCAAAGGTCTTGTTAATGTAATGGATTCATAATCCGTGGTGAGTCAACTTACCTCATGCAAATTGAATTATTAACTTCTGTACTTGGATTTTCCAACGAAATAGTAGTAAGATTAGTGGTTGTTAAGACAAAGGCGTTGTAACTTGTAGCTCAAGTTACAATTGAATGATCAAATATCCACTCCTTATTTATCATTTTTGATTAATTCATTTGGGATATTCTCGGTAGCATGTTTTAAGTTATCTACGCCAATAATTAAACTTTTATGAATGTTTAAGTGTAAAATAGTTTAAAAGAAACGATAAATACTTCTGAGAAAGCGATAATAAAATATGTCGCTGATTAAGTTTACAGTTCTGATTTACGAATTTTTGATCGTTTACCCAACTAGTGGTTTAGTTGTATTTTTTTCCATTATAAGGCTTAAAGTCCATAAATCGTACCCAGACAGCATCAAGAAACATTCATTAAGTTACAAAATTCAGCTTCAAGAAACATTCATTAAGTTACAAAATTCGTATACTTTTACACTGCGTGTAAAAACTTGATGTGACTTAATATATTTTCAATGGTGATTTCCCCATAAAATACGGAAAATGTCCATAACTATTTTGATAAAAAATGTATGTTATAGTCCTTTGAATTTCGAACAAAATGGTACAAATCCCATATCCGTAAAATAACGGTTCCAAAGTTATTGTAACTTCTGCTGTTATTTCCCCATAAAACCCATGAAATAACAAAATAACAAAAATCTCCAGGCATTTCTTTTTAAATTTTGATTTTTAATTGGGATTTCTTCAATGGGGAAAAATTAGATTTTCTCGAAAATTGCCCGAACGATTTTGATGAAATTTTATTTATGTTATAGTCCTTTAAATTCTGAACAAAATAGTTACAAATCCTATTTCCGTAAAAAATACGGTTCAAAAGTTATTGTAACTTATGCAATTTTCCCACAAAAACAAAAAAGAAAATCTGATTTCAGGGAAAAAACGGATTTTATTAAATTTAATGTGTTGTGGTCCTTGTAAACAAAATATTTTTACCCCCATTGGTGTAACAATTACGGTTCAAAAGTTATTGCAACTTTTGTGAATTTCCCTATATAAAATATCATAGTTTCTCCCACCTCTTGTCCATGATAAAGATTGTTTAAAGCTTATGAGAGAAAGTAATAGTTATTTGTGCAACTAGTGAGAAAAGTGAGCAATTGACTCACTCGAGAGAAATCCTTACTCACGAGCCGTAGGCGAGTGAGGAATTGTTTCTCGAGTGAGGCAATTGTACTTTGAACTCGAGTTGCACATTATATTTTTCCTACAGTTACCATAAAACCATAATTTGTTACCATAATTTGTGAAGAAACATAACCTATTTTTACACAGAAGTGAACTTTTAATATAACATTTAATGTGAAGTGACAAATACAACAGTACAACAGCTGACCAGCTGATTTACAGCCAGTGCTGCCAACGTATTTCGCGCGCATACGACGTTGACTGCATGTTACTACAAGACTATTTCGTGCCTTCACGCTGCAAATCTGGGGCCCTATTTTTGAAATGGTTGACTGT